CTTACCTTTTCGGTAATAAAAGAGCAAAATATGCCAAAAATGCTGCTTTTGTTCTTCCATATTTGATGGTACACAAAAAATAAACAATTGCACAAAATTTTTTACAAATAAGCTTTAAAATGCTAGCCGTCAAAATATAAATATAATACAGTTTAGAATGAAAATGGTGGGAAAAGTATGACTAATCTGTCTAGTGGTAAAAAAAAATGAAATTACTTTCCAAACAAACTAATAGATAACTTTTTTACAAAATATATACAGAAAGTTTTCCATAACATTATCTTTCTCTATAGTTATGTATTTCCGAGACCGTGTCTTTTTTTATTTGTTTTTTTCTTCACTACTAGGTGCATTAATAGACACAAGGCATTTTACATGTTCTTTATTAATCTTCCATAGGCCGATAGGCTTCCATTATCTTTCTCATGAATCATAATCTTAAAATTCTGACATTTTGAAAATTCTTTACAGCATAAAAATAAATGCAGAAAATATTGATTCCATTCAGTCTGTATTAATGTTATTTCACAAACAGTATAATAGTAAAAATCTAAAGATTTCATCCTTGTTGATGTGTATTTACTCATATTTTAAGTTACTCTTAATTGAATATTAAATTTAAGTTTTTTTTAATAAGCATTAATATTTAAAATAGATAGTTTATTATTTTATCTGGTTATTTTTTAATTTATAATTAATAAGTAATTTTATATTTAAAATTGTCATATGAAAAATACGACAGAAGACACTTTCATAATCACAAATTTTGTCACAATTATCATAAATTTCACATTGATTAAGATCATTTATTTTTCTTACTTATTTTGGACTTTATTTAATTATTAATAACCTTGAAAAGTAACATTTTATCTTATTTTAAAAACTATAAATTCTTTTTCTGTTTCATACATTCAAACTATAATTATAATTACTATTAGCTACATAGTAACTGCAAAATTAAATATAATAATTATTTGTATTGTGGGGTTGTATCAAAAAGCTTTGATTTTTATTTTTTTGACAATGTACAAAAGAAATAATGCCAAAAGAAACACAAACAAATGAAAGAGGCTATAATTTGCTATTTTTCAACATATGATTTATTAACATTAACACATTTGTCTCATTGCTTTACACAACTTTGAAATGCTGTCTTAAAAAAATGTGGTTTCTTGTTAGTGAAGCCAATGCAGCACCTCAGTCTGAACCTCCTGATCATTGTGAAATCTCCTCCCGGTAAGCACTCTTCATTGGCCCAAAAAGACAATAATTGGAGAGGTGAGATCAGGGCTGTAAGTTGAATAATCCAGAACCTCCCATCCAAAAAATGCCAACTTTCAGACACATGCAAGCCACATGTGGGTTACCATTGTTGTGGGGCAAAAGAATGACACGTTCTTCCAGCTCAGGCTTTTTTCTCCAAATAGCTTGATGTAAAAGTTTTACAATACAAATTTAAGTTGATTGTCTCACTCCATCAACAGAACTCTGAGAACACGATTAATTGAACATCCCAGAAAGAACACAGTCAAGGAACACCTAAGGGTCATTTCTTTGTCTTTTTTGAATCAGGAGATGCGGTATGCTTCCACACCATGCTGTCCTTGAATTCAGACATAAGGTGGTACATCCAGCATTCATTATGTCAAAATGTTTTGTTTAGCTGTCTCTGCCGCTTGGGCTATCTTATCAAGTGCAGTTAGCTGTATGATTGCCTCTATGCTCTTTCTTGCCTCTCTCATTGGGTTGCAATTTCAAAAAATTGTAGACCTTTAAACCCCTACTGTTGTCCATCTGTTTGTCTGTTCTTTCTTAATCTGCAGAACAAGTTAGATAGATAAAAGTCAAGACCAGATGTGGAGCTTAGGGCAGGAGACCTCAATTAAATATATACAAACTTCTGGTGCAAACCAAAAGTCATGTTATTTCAATTCAAAAATTTTTCCCTGAAAGGAGTTAGTTAGATTACCAGCATGACTCTATTGCTANGAGAGGTTTTAATACTTAAAAATTAAATAAATTTAATAATAACTAAATATGAATTTTTATGCATTTAATACATAATAAAAGTAATAAAAAATACATTTAAAAATTGATTTAAGTTATCCAACAACATTTTTATTACTATGTCATATCAGTTATTTTGAAATTTCACTTAATTTTGCTCTTTGCAGCATATTCATTTTGAGATTTACTCACTTAGCACTTTCAAATGTTTTAGTTCATCATCAGAGCATTCTGTTTCCTTCAAATATTTGAAATTTAATTTTTATTCAATAGAATATTTGGGATGTTTTTCTTTCATTCAGTATCTATCTTGTTCCAGCTCAAGATAGATATTGAACCGTGTGCTCTGAAGATGAACCAAAAAGTTGAACATGCTAAGTAAATAAATCCTGAAGTTAGGGATTGCTTAAAGGCAGAAGTGAAATATATATCAACCAAAATTTTTAATAAAATTCATATTAACAGAAAAAGTGAAACATTAAATTTAATTAATTTTCTCCGATCAGCGAATGTGAGATCCGGAATTTTATTAATCTAAAAATTTAATTATTTCAACTTTTGTTATATAACGGATTGAAAGAAAAAACGATCTTAGCTGGGAATGTGTAAACCTTCCTTTCATAACTGTCAACATTTTATTGTTCTCACACAACTTGCAGCTCGACTTGCACAAAAATTTATAGTTAGCATCCAAATTTCGTCAGTTATTTTGGGTCCCGGGAACACCTATAACCTTTATCTCCTATAATAACCGATTACGTGACTGATTTTCCCAGCAAAAAGCTATAAAAGATTCTTTCTACCCCCTCTTGGGGGAGTCTCTTAATGAAAGTCGGACCAATGTCATCGAATACCGTCTAGTACAATCTCCGTACCCGCCAAACATTCTGAACCTCCCACATCGAATACCATCCGATAGTCACAAACTTTTATATTTGTACCAATTTGGATTACCCTAAAAACACCACTTATTGGATTTTTAATGTGATTAATGAACTTGAATCTTCGTGGAAACCTACAAAGAGGTATGAAAATCCATATGAACTCTCTCTCAAGCTCTTAGGCGTGTTTAGCGTCGAGATTCTTATGTGTAAATTTTGTCGATCTTGTCTATTTTAAATAAACTTGTTTTGTTTGTTAAATGGTAGACTCCTTTACTCGTATACTGCCTACATCTTATCTTCAACCCCATGTACTCTCCCTCCACTCGACTGACATAGGTCAAAAAGCCCTGACCATCAGGACCATTATTGTAACATAGCCATCTTGACAAGTGAAGGAAAGGGAAGTGCGACCGTCCCCGACCTCTCTGGCAGTTCACATCAGTATGACTTGCTAAATGTAGGATTTTTGCTACATCGTTTTATAAAGTGAAATAATGATTTGGTAAATAATTTCAAATAATGTATTGTAGTGAATTGTGATTTTCAAATATAAATATAAACATCTACAATAAAACCCAATGCATTGCAATGACACACCAACAATTGCCATTTTCAAATATTTTACATAGTTCAACTGATGAAAGAAGATAAAGTTCAAATATGTGTTATATCTTTATGAAAATGTTGCTACAAGATTATGCAAATCAGTCATGGAGTTTACAGTCCAAGCAAGTTTAAGCTTTCTTCATGCTTTTCAGTCCAACATTGGAAGTACATACCAAGTTGGTACCCATCAAAAATGACAACAACAATACATCACATAAAGAGAGAATACTTTACCACGGATTAGTTTTACAGCATGGTATGTCCATTGCCATATTCAAATGCCTGCCATGGCAAAACAATATAAAGAATTTGTATCGAAAAAACGAGAGAGAGAGTGGAGCATTGGTTTATAAAACCAATTTCAATATATTGGGAACATTCTGATACATCTCACCACTGATGGAATCAATAAATAGTAAAGAAAGATGCATTATAACTTCTTGCATGTTTTAATATAAAATTGATTAAGATTAACTTGAAATAAAAGCAAATTTAATTATAAAATTAATACATGTTTACAATGAATAATTTATCTAAATTCTCTACAGATCAGAAATGAATGATATTTAGATGTATTCAAATTGATGTTTCATTTTAAAAAAAAACTTTATATTAAATTATTTGCAAATACTAATTTTTAAACATTTTTAGTGATTATATTTTGTTTTTTTTTTCTTGTCATTGAAAATGTTGACATTAGCAAAATGAATTATGATTTTGAATATGAGACAGTAAAAAATAAGAATAGTAATGCAGAAAACTTTTATTAATTCAAATTTAATAGCTTGTACTATCATTTTCCATAGTTACCAACAATATATTACATACATTAGGTCAAAATTTTGATAATTTTAGATAATAGAAACAAAAATGCATTACAAATGATATTTATCATGTAAATATGAGAAAGGTGTTTTGACCAAATGACTTAGTTGACCTTGCTGACCACACCCTTATTGTTTATTTTCCCCCTTTTAATCCTGAAATGTTAATCATTGTCCTAGCATTCTAATATCATTTTACAAGGCTTTCACTTTGTTTTAATAAAACTTGATAAATAACTTTTACAGAATTTTATTACATTTTTATGTTTAATTTTTTTGACTTAATAAATATGATTTGTTTTTCGTCTCCTTAGTTATAAAATGTTGTACTGCCTCCTAACTTTTTATTATTTCATTTGACATTTTAAATAATTTGAAGGTTTTCAGATCTCTTAAAATTCAAAGTAATGAGTTCATTTCATGAAGAAAGCATACACACACTACTTTAAATCTTTATAATCATATTCTTCTTCAAGTTGATAATATTTCTATTATTTTATTAATTTCTTAATGAAATATTATTAAGTAGTTTTATAAATAATTAAAAATAAAGTTTATTGAATGTAAATTCATAAATTTGAGTAAATTTCACTTATTTAACAATAATTTAATTTGTATTTTTACTTCAGTTTTTTAACATCTTGAAATTTAAACAATGATATTTATACTTTTTAAATAGGTTGTGCTCATAAAGATGGTATTCCTCAACAATTAGTAACTTTAAATAGCTTAAATTGTACAGCTATGGGAAGAGTATTACTGAGTAGTTGCAGTATACAGAATGTTCAAGGGACACCATACTGGTGTAATGACATGCAAAATGTTGGTGCAGCTGCTACAGATTTAGACATTGAAATGGTAAGAGATAAATTTCCTTCTAATTATGCCATTAATAATTTTTTAAATAAAAAAATGCTTTGAACTTTCATTCAACAGATGTACGTGTACACTTTAGGTCAAACATTGCATTTAGCATCTGAATATGTTCAGCAAGAATCTCAGTTGTCTGTGAGTATAAATAAAAATATTTTTAATACCTGCTTATCATGAATAAGTAAACTGAAATTCCATTAATGTGATATTAGAAAAATTTCATATAAAAATAATTTATATGATGGTTATATAAATAAGTAAATTATTGATAACTCTAAAATCTTAATTCACATTTCATGATAAAATTACAAAAAAATATTACAGAAAATTGTCAGATATTGATTGATTGAAGATAAAAGTGTAACTGAAAAATGATGGATTGTAATCTTATCCTGAACAATTTTAGTCTTTGTGTGGCAATATGCAGGAATTTTTTTATAACAATTGAAAATAAATATGCAACATATAAAAGAATACTACTAAATTATTGATCTTAATAAATACTTTGGTACATTTATTTTTATTTAGTATAAAAAGTTGATTGTCATTTTATTTAAGATGTTGGCATTTTGATATATATCTTCATTAGATGTTACAAATATATGTTATTCTTTACACAATTTTTTATTACATACATGAAATAACATAAACACCTACTAAGATCTAATAGTAAAATAAATATGTAGTGACATTAGATAACAAAAACTAGTATCATAAAACAAAACTAAAAATAGAATTGATATCATAAATCAATTAGCAGTATATGGTATAATATATGAAAGTATTTGAAATAATTGTTTTATATTTTCAACATTATTATTATTATTATTATTATTATTAAATGCTAATGTGAGATTGATTTATAGCTATTTTTTAATTGAACTAGCAAACGTATGCAAATTTCATTAAAAAATTTGTCAAAATGCTTTTAATAATAATTTATATTAATATTTTAATTTCACTATTTTATTATTAAATATTTATCTTTAATATTTACAGTAAAAGCTTAGTGTAACTATCATTTGAAGACAATAAAGTTCTAAATTAGCAAAAATTTAATTTAAGAATGATTCTAAAACACTAAACTGTACTTTAGAAATCATGTTTCAAAGTCAAGCTAATATTAGATTTAAAAAATGCATTCAAATACTACAGTTTTTGATACAGTTCTAAATACTTAAAAAAAATTATTAAAGTTTTATTATTTAATTGAATAGAATTAATTTAAACAATTTTTATGAAGGACAGATGTAAAAATGTAAACAAAAACCATTGCTGGAATTAAAAGTTTTATATTGTTACATCTGGCTTTCATAACAACAAAGTTCTGTTTTGTATCCCTGATGATGATCATTGAAACTTTACAACACTCGGATGTTTCGTGTTTCTGTTGTTTTTTCTCCATTAAGGCACTGGATTTTTATTTAATTTGTAGAAGTTTTTTGAGTATAATTTTATTACATAAATTTTACTATTTCAAATATAAAGAATTTTTAATATATTTGGATACTTTTTGTATGTTTATCTTATTTGACCTGCATTCTAAATTGTGTTATTGTAAGGGAAACAAAATTCAGTTTGTTAAACTTATCAATTTAATTAAATTACATACAAGGAAGATTTTATTTCTATATATTTATTTTTTTTATAAATAATTTAATATTAAAATTTAAAATATTTTTATGAGATTACATTATATTATTTAGTTGTTTGTTACAAAAATACGGAAACTAAAATGTTATATTTGAGAAAAATAACATTTTTTTAATTGTTTCACTTTGAGAAGTAATAATAAATGGCAAGTGATAAAAAATGTTCTTTATTTGATTCTGTATAGAAATTCATATTGACAAAGAAAAAAAAATTTTCTTTGTCAATATGAATTTCTATACAGAATCACATAAAGAATTTTATGAATTTTAACTTTTCCATATTTCTAAATACTTCCAAATATTTAAGATATGTGATATATCATTTTCAGAAATTATTTACATAATTATTGTTTTTTTATTTTTACAGTATCATTCAAATCTTTCATCTGTTTTGATCTCAACAGTACAAGCAATGAAACATTCCAATATTAATTTAAGAATGAAATTATCTGATATCATGGAAGTGAGTAATCAGAAAAAATTAATTATTTATGTCTTTATTTAAATTGTTTATTGCAATTTATTAAGATATTTAATTTTAAATTTTATTACTTTATTATATTAATCGTGGTGTTGATGATGGAAAGTAACAATTTTATGTATTGTTGGAATTTAGAAATTATTTTATCCATATCAAACATAAATAAAGCATTTTTTTTTTTTTTATAATTTTCAAATTTTGATGATTTAAGACAATTTTATTTCTTTGCTTATTTTAGATATTTACTGTTATATGAGTATAAACTTCAAAGAATGTTCTTAAAATAAATATTAATATTAACTATGGTTAATTTTAATATTAATTGATATTTTTAAATATTATACTTTGACAAATGTAAGTACACTAAAGATAAAACATGTTTTTTAGTCAATAGTGCTTATCTTTCAGCACATTATATATATATATATAACATTTTTGCCTGAACAACATAAGCAAATTTGAGAAAACAATTTTGAACAATTTTTTGCTTAAAAAATTTTACAAAAGTGATATTAAGATTACAACACTTAATGATAAATAAAAACACAAATGATAAACAAGCATTATATTTATCATTTATTAATATACTTTCATGTACTGTTTAATAACAATAACAACAACAATAATAATATTTTCATACAAGAATAGGTCATAAATGCAAGAAACTATGGAAAATGCATTTTAATATGGGAAATGCATAACACTCACAGATAACTCTTGTAGGAAATGGAATATTATGCACAAGACTATACAACACATCATGTCAGGTTGCACACATATAATATAAACTAGCTAGTTATCCAAATAGCAAATACATCAAAAGCTTGCATACAAACACAATTTACTATGCATTCAGGAACCATACTAAAAATATACACCTCAGATCATTATTGAAAACAATATATGCAAAATATATTGGGTTGTTCGGAAAGTAAGTTCATTTTTTTCCGTGGAAAAATTGCAATATTCTTATAATAAATAAATATTTTATTGAATTATATGTTGACCATTTTGGTCAAATACCTGTTGTCATCGTTTCTGGTAGTAGCACGATTTCACAGTCATAAAAGTTTTGATCGTTGCTTACAAAAAACCGATCCAAGTGATTTTTGACATTGTCATTTCAAGTAAATGTCTTACAGTTAAAAAAAATTGTATAGACCAGAACAAGTAATAATCCGAGTGTGCTCGATCTGGCGAATATGGTTGGTGTGATAGCATGTCCCATCTAAGTTATAACAGTTTCTGACGCTACCAAACTTGTGTGAAATTTGACATTATTGTGGTAAAACACGACACCTGTTTTTTTTTAATCAATTCTGGCAGGCTTTTTCTGTTTGATGATATTACGTAATTTGTTTACTCGAATGCAGTACACTTTCGAATCAATTGTTAAATTGTCTGGTAAAAGCTCCAAAAAAAATTTCCTTAATATCCCACCAAATAGAGCATTTCTCTTTAAGAACTCGTGGAATTCATATATCGAGCTTTGAAACGAAACCAATTTGTTTCAAGTACTCATAAACAGTTCAATTTGACAAATTTAATCTCTTAGT